TATTTGGAAAGATCTGGAAGTACAGTAGGCTCACTGCCATTGTTATTCAACACACCAACAGACATGCTCATACTAACACATAAATTTTATGTCTACAACTATTTCTAGATCTATTTGTTATAAATATTTAAAACGAAACTGAGTTCCTATGTATGCCTCCCATTCCAATCCACTGTCCTTAGGGAGCATTTTAGCCTCCTGCTTTTTAAAAATTACTTAATTTATTTAAAAGAGATGTTTGCTATAGGGTGTGTGCACTTCCTGGAGACATAGAGACAGACAGAAAGTGAGAAGCCACCCCCCAACGGTAATAGCCACACCACAACCCCTTCTCTCTAGTTTCCTCTCAGGATTTCAGGCAAACATACATGCACCTGGCTGAGTTTCAAACTGCTGGGTCTGGATTTCAAACTCTGGTCAGCCATGTGGAAGTCTAGCACCTTAACCACTAGGCAAACGGCTGGCCCTACCTTGCTTCTCTTAGCATTCTAAGTATCTTCTCTGGAAACTTAGTTTCAAATCTCCTCCAAGTATGTATGTATTCATTCATTTACTTATTTGTTCGATGGCTATGAGCCTTACTCCTCTCTGTGGTTCCCTCAACCCACTTCACTACACTGTGTCATCAGTGACTATTCTGACGTCTCCATGCTAGAAAATAAAAGATGTCTGGTAGTTTTTGGGACCAGCAAATGGTGTAACGGTTTTGTTGCCAGACTCCCAGGTAATTGATTGTGGTTTGAGTCCCGGACCCGTAGGCTTGAATCTCACACGGGGCACATGGCTTCGAGTCTTAGACAAAGGGGCTTAAACCTCACACTGGGTATGTGTGTGTGTGTTCCAAGATCTTGAGAGGAGAATGGAGAAGGAATTGTGGCATGACCATGCCCCCAGAGGGTGATTTCTCACTTTCTGTCTATCTCTCTAGTGAGCACATGCATCTTTTAGCAAAAATCTCTCTCTCTCCTTTTTTTTTTTTTTTTGCTGTAGGGCACATGTGCTCACTAGAGACAGGAATGCGAGGGAGTGATAGAACACTCCCGTGAGGGGATGGCCATGCCATAACCCTTCTCCTCTATTCTCTTCTCAGGATTTTAGACACACATATGTGCATGTGTCTGGGAGTGCTTTTTAAGCCACAGGATGTGGGACTCAAACCACACAGCTGGCCATGAGGGATCCAGCTATCTTAACTACCATGCAGTAGCTGGCCCTATCTTAAGACTTTTACTGGGGACATTAAATAACATAAGCTTTATTGCCAAGGAAAAATGATTAAATCAGGGGGACCAACAGGAGGCGTGGTAGTTAAGGCACTGGACAGTCCCACATGGCTGACGATAGTTCGAGTACCAGACCTAGTAGCCCGCTTTCTCACTTTCTCTCTCTCTCTGGTCAAATTAAAATAATCAAAAGAATTAAATAAAAACTAATTCTCTAAAAGAAAAAATAATAAAATTAGATCTATGCATTACCTCTGTTAAAGGAATCTACTTCAATGAAAGAAAATATACGCTGCGAGCCACTTGAGGGGAAACACTTTCTTATGTTTTCCGTTGAGGTACTGTGTTCCTTTTTGCTACAGAGAAGCGAGCTTTCTTTAAGTCAGGTAGCTAGTACCTGAGTACTTTATTAAGTTGTACCAAGGTCTAAAAGATCACATTTGGCCAAATTTTGCTCCACATCTTAAATTATAAAATTTTATGACGTATTTCACTGTCATTGGATATACAGATTTAAGAGCTCTTGCTGTCAAATTATTTAATACCCATGTAAAATGCAAATGTCAAAACTCCTGAAGCACATTTTAGATAATAATTCTGAGACGTCATAAAGCCCAGCTAGTACAGAAGACAAATAATGGTTCATTAAATCTGTTAATTCTCTCAGATGAATCAGAACTTCAAATGAACCCAGATTTCATACTAAAAACTTAGTACCCATTCAAAAAAGCAACACAGACAAAAGAAAATTTAAAAATGTTTAAAAACTGGGGGACCAGGGACCCAGCAGTTAGCGTAATGGCTATGTCGCTGGACTCCCATGTAGTTGACCGCGGTTCGCATCCCGGACCTGGTGGCTTAAAACTCACACCAGGCGCATGTATGTGCAAGCCCAAGATCCCGAGGACAATGGAGGTAAAGGGATTGTGGCGTGGTCATCCCTGCTGGGGGGGGGTGATTTCTCGCTTTCTGTCTCTCTGTCTCTCTCTGTCTGGCGAGCACACACACCCTATAGCAAAAATCTCTCCAAAAAAAAATACTGGGAGACCAGCAGTTGGCATAATCTATGTAATCAACCACGGTTCGAGTCCCAGACCTGGTGGCTTAAAACTCACACCAGGCGCATGTATGTGCAAGCCCAAGATCCCGAGGACAATGGAGGTAAAGGGATTGTGGCGTGGTCATCCCTGCTGGGGGGGGGTGATTTCTCGCTTTCTGTCTATCTGTCTCTCTTTGTCTGTCTAGAGAGTGCACATGCCCTATAGCAAAAACCTCTCCAAAAAAAAAAAATTTTTTTTTCAAAACTGGTTTTGAGACAGCAATACTATACACTATTCCTTGTACTAAAGTCAAAATAAATTTAGCATTAGGCTGGCCACGTGGTGCAGTTATTAGGGAAGCTAAAAACTTGGATAAGAACAAATAGGAAAACAGTAAAACAAGACGATCTGCAAAGATAACTCACGTAGGAAGGTTCTGGGTTTAAATCAGGGCTCCCCACAAGTGTGCAGGACACAGAGGCTGTGTCATGACACAAGGCTGGCTGAAGCTAAGGTTGGTTTGGAATCAAGACCCTTTTAGAGGCGTTTATTCTGTTGCTGTCTCTCTCCCTCATGGAAGAAATAAATGTGAAAAATGAAGCTATACCTAAATCATGCCCATTAAAAAGTTCTGAAACCAAAAATATTTTGATTACTTAAAATTAGAAATAGGAGAAAAGCCATTTAAGTCTAAATAGACCAATGGACATTTCTGCATCTTCAGCATTGCAGTGGCTCAACTGTTTCCCTCTGCAGCTCTCCAGTACGGGAAATGTCACACTTTATCTTACCAGGCGCTTGCTATACAGTAATGCTGTACTGCTACCACTGGAAACTGCCCATTTAGAAAAATGCATCACATGTTCCAACTGCTTAGAGAGCCCAGCCACCTCCTGTTGTTGTTGCATAAGTTTCATTCTGTGGTCCTTTGCAAGGCTCTGAAAATAACAAGGGAATGTTAGAATTAGTTTCTGCATATGACATATGTTTTAGTGGTCATTTTCAGACAACCAAATTAAAATAACCACCGGGTCTAAGTACTCGATTGACAGAAACTAAAAATACTCCTAGGATTTATTTCCCCATTATATCTCAAATGTCATCCTCTCACCTCCAGCTGCTAGGTCTGGTTTTACATGTTCTGGTATTTTAGATCTCTATTCTTGCACATTGCAATATTTAAAAAAAAAAAAAAAGACAAAATTATGGATCAGCTTTAATATAGTAAATACATGTTAAGTTCTATAGTCAAATAGATGTAAAATCTAGAAGTTACCGGATCACATAAAATAATCGTATGATTCGCCTTTTAGAAGTTCTAGTTCTAACTACAACTGCACCTAGTTTGTTTCTATAATCATGCTACATGGGACATAAAACTTACCTGTGTCTCTGTGTGTGTGTGTGTGTGTGTGTGTGTGTGTGTGCGCGCGTGCGCACACACGTGCACGTTTTTGGAAAGGAGCATCACGTTATGTCTCTTTACTGTGAATTACCTTGGGAGTCAATGTATACAGTGAATGATTTTGTCAATGTACACAGAAAAGCTACATAAATCCAGAACATAGAATTCAAAAGTGGAGCACTGAACTTGCATTATTTTAAAGGCCTCTCTCAAAAACCCTCATCCTTGACATGGCAAGGAAACAGAGAATGAGGTTTTCTACTGGCTCGAATTAAAGCAAAACTGCTTAACTCCACCATGGCTGAGGCCAGCAGGTGGCGAGGTAGTGAAAGGCACTAAATCCCCACATGGCTGGCTGAGGTTTGAGTACCAAACCTGGTGGGGCTTGCTTCCCTGCTTCCCCATTCTCTCTCTGGTGAAATTAAAATAATAACAATGACAACAAATTAAATAAGATAAATAAATAAATGTTTTTAAAAATTCTTTTTCTATGTGTCTCTTTTTTTCTTTAAATTGGGGGAACCAGCAGTTAGCGTAATGGCTATGTCGCTGGACTCCCACGTAGTCGACCGCGGTTCGTGTCCTAGACCTGGTGGCTTAAAACTCACGGCGGGCACGTGTGCGTGCATGCCCAAGATCCCGAGAGAAGAATGGAAGAGAAGGGATTGCGGCATGACCATCCCCCCTAGGGGGTGATTTCTCGCTTTCTGTCTCTATGTCTCTCTCTGTCTGTCTGGCGAGCGCATGCGCCCTACAGTGAAAATCCCTCCAAAAAAATAAAAAAAATTGGGTTCAGCTCCCGTACGGTATTGCTATGAGATACTGGAGTTCTATGTGAAGGCCCAAGTTAGGATCCTCGTTCACACTGAACATTCAGGGTGTGCCTGTTATCCTGGCTGGTTAATGGGCAAGAGGGCTGAGCACGGTGAGACCCTGCTCCAAGGTACCTTTTTCTCTTTTCATCTTTCGGTCCTTAATGAAACAAACATGAAAAAAAGTTAAAAAGGCAGTACCGTGAAAAAACAGTAACTATAAATGGAGTCTGATTCCTCCTGCCCAGAATACTTTCTCCATAAATAACTATTTGCTTCCAAAAGAAGAGAATTATTTCAGTCTTTGTCTCCTCTGTGGTTGATAAACCATACGAATGACCTATCAGGACAGACAAAATTTTCGGACAGAGACCACATAATTTGGCCAAGTATGAAATAAAGAGGTCAAACTCAATTATTTCTAGGAATCTTCCTTATCCTCAAATCTTAAAACATCAGGATTCTGTTATTCTTTTCTCATCTTGAACTGCTTCTTTATTATGAATTCCGTCTACACCAATATACTAAGAATACCTAAAGATTATACAATTACGGGGCATTATAACCTCCTATTATGGGAGGTCAAGTGCTGATTTTGGACACTGATGCCATGAAGATAGTAAAGGTCTTCTTACTTGCAGTGAGAAATGACTATCCTAATTGCCTTGAATACCTTCCCCTAAAAGTGCTGCTTTGAGGGGCTGGCAGGTGGCACAGGGGTTAGGGTGTGGACTCCTACATGCTCAACCATGGTTTGAGTACCAGATCTGGTGGCTCACTTTCCCTCCCTTCCTCCCTCCCTCCCACCCTTCCTTCCTTCCTTCCTTCTTCTCTGTCTCTCTCTGGTCAAATTAAAGTAATAACAATAATAATACCATGAAATAAATCATTCTTTTCAAACAAAGGGGGCTCTTTGACAATTAACCGCATAAAATGTTGAGGGCAGCAGACACTTTTTCAATGAGGTATTTACCATAGAGCATGTGCACTCTGCAGAGGAGAGACAGAGAGAGAGAAAGTAAGACATCACCCCGCAGAGAGAATGGAGACTCTGCAGTCCCTTCTCCTCTAATCTCCTGTCGGGATTTTAGGGCATGCACGCCTGGTGTGATGTTCTAGCCCCCAGGTTCAGGACTCAAACCACAGCTGGCTATGTGAGAGTTCAATGCTTTAACCACCAAACCACCTGCTGGCACCAAGCTGCCACATTCTCTTACCTAATTTCTCACAAATTTAAATGGATGTATTTGAGAAAAGCACTGTAGTGCAGTCACGCACCACATCTCATTTTAGTGAACTCTGGACCACATACATCATGATGCTCAGTGCTCTCAAAACACAACGGAGCAGAAAAATCCCTACAGCCTAATGACACCTCAACACCATACAGCCTGGCATTACTCACATGTTTGTGGTGACACTGATGTAAACAAACACGGTCTGCTGCCACTCATGTGAAAGTGTGGCACATACGATTACACACAGTATTTAATTCTCAACAGTAAATTAGTACTATTCCCTTATGTATTTATTATATTACACATTTTCATCATTATTTGAGAGTATATCTTCTACTTAATTGAATAAAAAATGTTGGGGGAAGAAAATAAAGGCTGGCAAGTGGCATGGTGGTGAAAGGTGCTGGACTTAAACAGGGCTGACCGTGGTTCAAGTCCTGGACCTGGCAGCTCACTTTCTCTCTTGCTCTCTCTCTGTCTTGCTATGGTCAAATTAAAAATAATAATTTTTGGGGGGCGGGGAGGATTTTGCTATAGGGTGTGTGCACTCAACAGAAAAATAGACAGAGAGATGGAAAGTGAGAAATCACCCCCAAGGGTGATGGCGACACCGCAATCCTTCTCAATTTTCTCGGGATCTTGGAAACGCATGCACACGCACCTGGCGTGAGTTTAAGCCACTGGGTCCAGTACTCGAATGGAAGTCGACTACATAGGAGGCCAGCAACATAGCCATTATACTAACTGCTGGTCCCAAAATAATGATAATTTTTTTTTAAAAAAAAGTAATTTTTTTGGTTGAGAGGTTCTTGCTCTAGGGCGCGTGCGCTCTCCAGACAGACAGAGAGAGATGTAGAGACAGAAAGCGAGAAATCACCCCCCAGGGGGGATGGTCACGCTGTAATCCCTTCTCCTCCATTCTCCTCTCGGGATCTTGGGCATGCACGCACACGCGCCTGGCGTGAGTTTTAAGCCACCGGGTCCGGGACACGAACCACGATCGACTACGTGGGAGTCCAGTGACATAGCCATTACACTGCGTTTGCATGTATGCCCAAGAACCCGAGAGGAGAAGTGATTGCGGTGTGGCCATCGTCCTGGGGGTGATTTCTCACTTTCTGTCTCTCTCTGTCTTTCTGGCGAGCATGTGCACCCTATAGCAAAAACCTCTCTAAAAAAAAAATGTTTGGTCCAGCAGATGGCGTAATGGTTATATCACTGGACCCCATTTAGTCGACCATGGTTTGAGTCCTAGACATGGCAGCTTAAAAATCTCATGCCGGGCATGTGTGCATGCAAGCACAAAATCCTGAGAGGAGAATCGAAGAGAAGGGATTTGTGTGGCCACATTCTCTGGGGGATAATTTCTCACTTTCTGTCTGCCTCTCCAGCAAGCATATGTCCCCTATAGCAAAAATCTCTCCTAAAAAAAAAAATACTTTACTGCGATACAGTGTGGCCTGCTACACTCGCAGCAGTGTCATACATATTGTATTTACTGTGTCTCCTGATGGCATTGTTTGTTCTTGTGCTTAATTTAATCTCATGCTGTTTGCCATGCTTCTTCTGAAAGAACAAGATGCAGAGGTGGAAAATAGTGACAGTGACAATCCTGACCCTGTGTAGTCCTACACTGTTGTATGTTTCTGTCTTAGTCTTTAACCAAAATGCTTATAAACAAATTTAAATAGAAAAAGCATATAGGGACCAGCACTTAGCGTAATGGCTATGTCGCTGGACTCTCACGTAGTCGACCGAGGGTCAAGTCCTGGAACGGTGGCTTAAACTCACACCGGGCGCGTGTGTGTGCGTGCCCAAGATCCTGAGAGGAGAATGGAGGAGAAGGGATTGCGGCGTGTCCATCCCCCCTGGGGGGTGATTTCTCGCTTTCTGTCTCTGTCTGGCAAGCGTACAGGCCCTATAGCAAAAATCTCTCCAAAAAAAGAAAAAGAAAAAGCATATAGACTAAGGATACAAAGAAAGAAAATACTTTATACAGCTGTACAACTGTGTTTTAAACTGTTATTATAAAAAAGTCAAAAGTTTATAAAAAAAAATAAAAAATATGGACCAGTCCATGACCTGGTGTTTAAGGTAGCTGGATCTCACATAGCTGATTACACGGTTGAAGTCCTGAATCCAGTGGCTTAAAAAACATATCAGGTGAATGTGTGTGTGCCTAAGAGAGATAAATGAAGAAGGGATTGTGGTATGACTGTCCCTGGGGAGGTGTTTTCTAACATTCCTTTCCTCTTCCTGTATCTCTGGTGTATGCACATGCCCTCTGATAAAGAAAATTTTTTTTAAATTTAAGTTTACAAGGTAAAAAGGTTACAATAAGCTAAAGTTAATTTATTATTGAAGAAAATGTTAAAAATAAATTTAGTATAGCTTAAATGTTCAATGTTTATAATATTTGTAGCAATACGTAACAACATTCTAGGCATTCACATTCATTCACTGACCCAACCAGAGCAATTTCCAGTCCAGGAGGCTTCATTCGTGTAAGTGCCTTATATAAGTTGGCCATTTTTTACCTTTTATACCGTATTTTTGCAGTGTTTTTTCAATGTCCAAATGTGCTTAAATATACAAATACTTAGCACTATGCTATAATTGCTACAATATGCAGTATAATGATGTGCTACATAGATTTGTAACCTAGGACAACAGGCCATCCATGTAGCCTAGGAGTTTAATAGGCTATACCACCTGGGTCTGTCAAAGTATACGATATTCACAGAAAAATGAAATTGCCTGACGCATTTCTCAGGAACTGTCTCCGTTGTGAAGTGATATGACTGTGTAACCAAGGGTGTGTCTTTCAGAAAATTTTTCTCTACTGTAATCCTCTGTGCTGCAAAGTCGCCACTTCAATCTCTAAAATGACCCATGTCTTCAACATTCATGGAGATCTTCCTAAGTCAAGGCATCAAGCTATGTTTTATGAAGCGAACAATGACAGGAAAGATATTCTCAGGGTAACATAAACCAATAAACTGTCAGCTACAGAGTACAATGCCACAAAACAAAACGTGGAAATGAAGAACTATTATTAAATCATAAGTGGAAAGACATGAAAGTGCTATGACTTCAAATGGAAAAAAAAACAAAACACTAGAAAATACTGTTGGCCCACTGCAACACACTGCCCACGAGCAGGGACTTACCTCCAGCTGGTGCAGTAGAGCTTTTCCTTTTTTGTTTATTTCTACCATCAATGTAAATATGGCAACTTTAATATCCTGTTCTACTTGCTTTTGATTTTGATTGACTTCAATTATTCTGAAAGTTAAATGAAAGAGAAAAAAACATATATAGTTTAAAGCATTTTTAACAACATTTAAAATGAATGTTTTACTGTCTAAATCAGTCGAAAGTGTTTTTAGCCTTTGAAAACTGTGCTATTTCTGAGAGTACTTCAGTTTAAATTAGCTTGAAGATGAGATGGCAGAAATATTCTTCTGAAAAATATAGTCGCTAATTTCAATTTTTAAAAAAATAAATAAAATGAAAGGAGAAGAGTGAGCACATTTTAAGAGAAAGTATGATTAAGAAAGATAACTATGTATGATACTTGGGGTTGACAGGTGATGTGGTAGTTAAGGGTACAGGACTCCCACATGACTAACTGGGGTTTGAGTCTCAGACCTGGCAGCTTGTGTTCTCATTTTCTCTCTCATGTTCCTTCCTTACTTCCTTAGAGGGACAGTGGAAGGAAGGAAGGAAGGAAGGAAAGAGAGAGCGAGAGAGAAAGAAAGATTCTTTTTCAAAAAAATTACTATAATAATAATAATAATAATAATAAAAGCTAACAACAACAAAAAACCTCAACCTAAAAGAGTGGAAGAGGGCAGACTAAAAAAGAACTTAGATACAAGATAAAGAAACTGTTTCTGAACAAGGACTGTCCTATTCACTGCAACTAAGTAGAAAAGTATAAATGTGATACTCTTATCTTTGGAAGAGTTACAATAATCATTATATCTCAACAGAAGCCAAAGACAACAATACCAGATTGCTACTTTTAATGACACATTTATCTCAACATCAACAACCAAGTAACTACTTATGTTGCATGAACAATATATTTTCTTGCTTTGACTGGAGAAAATGGGAATGCTACTGTATTTTCTTACAGATGAAAAGGAGAGAAAACAGTACCACACCAGAGTATTTTATATAAGCAGAAAACAGTAATAGGGAATCCACTAAACATTATGAGATTAAAGAAAAATCTTCATTTCTATGGTTTGCCTATACTAGCATCAAAAAGTCAAAATGCAAGTGGGGAAGTTCTTCAAGATAATTGCTTGATATTAATAACTGCTATGGAATCAAAGAAACTAGATAGGCTGGGAAGCATCCAATGTCAGAAAAATGTAAATCTTCACCACAGTAGACTACAATGATTAAGGAAAATCATTGCCGTATTTGAAAAATGCATAAAAATGAATCAACAGCAAAGTTAGTCCAGTGTATTTAATCATGTAAACCATGAAGTATACAAGTAATTGGAATCTAACAAAGGCTCTAATTTTTTTTTCTTCACTATGGGGTGTGTGTGTGCTTGCAAGAGAGACAGAGGGGAAGAGAGAAAGTCAGAAATCACCCCCAACCCAAAGAAATGGCCACACCACAATCCCTTCTCTTCCACTCTTCTCCCGGTATTTTGGGCATGCACATATACACATGTGCCTGGCATGATTTTCAGTCCCTCGGGACCAGGACTAGAACTGAACATTAGACCACAGGAGATTTAGCACTTTAACATCTACACCAACAGCTGGGCCAAGAACCCTTTGTTTTTTAATTGAGACTTTTGCAATAGGGCACGTGCACTCACAGGAAAGATAGAGACAGAAAGCAAGAAATCAACCCCCCAGGGGGGAAGGCCACACCACAATCCCTTCTTCCTCCAATCTCCTCTTGGGATCTTGAGGTCGCATGCATGCGAACACATACCGGGGGTGAGTTTAAGCCACTGGGTCCAGGACTTGAACTGCAGTAGACACGTGAAGCCCAGTGACAAAGCCAATATGCCATCTGTTGGTACCTGAGACTCTTTCATTTTTTTACCATAATCCAGAAACTAAAATCCTCCACACAACGATGTATTACGTAAAACCAGCATAAATCACTTTAAAAAAGAAAAGAAAAGGTAAATTTGGAGAACTCAAACTATGATTTTAAGAATTTAAAGAACTACTATGGGGGTCAGAAGGACCAGCAAATGGCTAATAGTTACATTTGCTGGATTCCCACGTAGTCAACCTGAGTTGGGTCCAGGAACCAGTAAAACCCATGCTGGGCGAATGTGAGTGCATTTATGCATGGCCATCACCCGGGGGTGACTTCTTGCTTTCAGTCTCTCTGGCAAGCGCACATGCCCTATAGTAAAAATCTCTCTCTAAAAAAAGAAAACAAAAAAAGCTATCATGGGGGCCAGCAGGTGGTATAGTGGGTACAGCACTGGACTCCCACATGGCTGAATGCAGTTCAAATCCTGAATCTGGCAGCTTGCTTTCTCACGTTCTCTCTTGGTCGCTCTCTGGTGAGAGCATAAGCCCTATAGCAAATTACAAAAACAATAATAATAAAATTAAATAAATAATCCTTTTAAAAAAGATTTTATGGTCATTAAAAGTAGGATACTAGCAAAAAGAAAAACACAAAAGAACACAACCACATATATGGTCAATTGATTTTCTACAAAGGCACCTAGGCAACTCAATAGAGAAAGAATAGTCTTTTCAATAAATGGTGTTGGAAAAAGATGAACCTCTTTATGTAAGAAAAAGTGGGCCTTGATCTGTAACTTATATTATACACACAGTGAGAGAGAAAATATTCAATCAAGTAAATTTTATTAAAAACAGTGGGATCTTTTACCCACAATTATTTTACAATTTCTACCCTTTGCCACTAGATGGTAGAAATGCCTATCATTTTCTCTGTTCATTCACTAAGTACTCTTAACAAATTTTCAACTATTTAGTATAACACAATTTAAACCCACCAATTTTTCTACTCGGCAAAATACACATTGTGATTAGAACATGGTAAAGAAAGTATTATTTGGTTGAGTATAGTTATGCGAGAGAGAAAGATAAAATGAGAACTAATAGGAATAAAATTAAAAGATGTATAATACATGATAATATATACAAGAATAATAGTAGGGCATCAAGAAAAAGCTAAATTATTTTTAAGAATCTCTTTTAGGCCCAAGTGCAACCTAAACACTGGTAACACTACACCATTGCCTATAAACCCAGTGAGCCATGAGACTCAAGAAAAAGATGGGGAGCTCGAGGATGACCTGGGCAACAATGTGGAGATCCTGCTGTAAACAGAGCTGGGCACGGTGGCAATGCCAGCTGGGAGGCCGAGGCAGGAGGATCAGCAACACAGCAAGACTTCTAATGAAATCAGGTCATACAGGGAATTTCCTGGGAAAAATACCCAAATGATCCACCACTAGCTACGTTTTAAAATAAGATTAACACATTATCGGGACCAGCAGTTAGTGTAATGGCTGTCGCTGGACTCCCACGGAGTCGACCAAGGTTCGAGTCCCGGACCCAGTGGCTTAAACTCACACTACATACGTGTGCGCGCGCGCCCAAGATCCCGAGAGGAGAATGGAGAAGGGATTGCGGTGTGACCATCCCCCCTGGGGGGTGATTTCTCAGTTTCTGTCTCTCTGTGTCTGTGTCTGTCTGGCGAGCGCACGTGCCCTATAGCAAAAACTTCTCCAAAAGAGTAACACATTATGCTGACTGGTTCTAGGTAACATGAGTCCAAAGGCCTGGTTCCATCTTTAGAACAACATTCAAATCCATTGTGAACGTTCTTTACTACAGGTTTTCCAATAACCATTTCTTGACCTATTTAGGTAGTGACACTTTTTTTTTTTTTTAATACAAAACAACAAAATAAATGGATTTCACTGGTGAGTAAAGGTTGTAATTGAGAATCATTATGGGCCCCTAAGTGGGATTTCAAAGGGGGTGGGGGAGCACTAGACAGGCCTCCTTTTAATGGAAGTTAGTGGTTTGCCCCCGAATCACTGAACTCTGAGGTGGGGACCTCTGAATGGTTTCCTTCTCTGGAGGTCACACTGTTTAAGCACTTTATCAAACCAAGAATTCAAGGTGTACACAACAGTTTAACAATCTGTCTCCTGATATTCTCAAATTACTACCTCTTTATAGTTAAAAGATAAACAGGGGATGCATATCTCATATATTAGCAAATTAAAATACCAAGAAAGTATATAATCAAGAATTAAAATTTTGGGGGGACCAGCAGTTAGAGTAATGGCTATGTCGCTGGAGTCCCACATAGTCCACCACGGTCCGCATCCCAGACCCGGTGGCTTAAACTCACGCCGGGTGCGTGTGCGTGCATGCCCAAGATCCCGAGAGGACAATGGAGGAGAAGGGATTGCGGTGTGGCCATCCCCCCTGGGGGGTGATTTCTCGCTTTCTATCTCTGTCTCTCTCTGTCTGGCGAGGGCATGCGACCTATAGCAGAAACCTCTCCCGGGCGACGCCCCGCTACAAAAAACCCCCACAAAAAAAAAAAAAAAAAAAAAGAATTAAAATGCTTGAGGTCAGCAGGTGGGGTGGTGGTTAAGGGCGCTGGACTCCCACATGATCATGGTTCAAGTCCAGGACCTGGTGGCTTGCTTTCTCACTTTCCCTCTCTCTTTCTCTCTCACTCTGTCCCGCTGGACAAATTAAAATAAGTAAATAAAGTTAAATAAAAAAATAGTATTAAAAAAAGAATTAAAATGGTTTACAATACCAACAAAAATGGTTGGTTCATATTTAAATCTTAGTGTTTTCTTTAACTGAAAAACAAAAGATATTTATAAATTATCAACACCTATAAGATAAATAAATATTAAGTAGTATGTTATATTAGTTTTTAATTGTATGGCTTAATAACCCAAAGTTCAGAGAAAGTCTTATTAACCAGATGTTAGAGCCATCTGACAGCTTAATCCTATACCATGAATTAAGAAAAATGTTCTAAAAGTGAATATGATTAATACGTTATATAACGATGTTTTATTACAATGTCCCAAATGTACATTTACCTGTTTTGGATTTGATTTCCTGTGAATTTTATGTACTTTGTTTTTTCCATCAGCTTGGTGATTAGTGTATCTATGATCACTTTCTGGTTCTGAAATGCTTCTTCTATAAATTGGTATCTGAAGAAATAAATAAAACAGTCAATTATTCTACACAAGTTAAAAATGAGGAAAAAGTCCAAAAGAAACTTCAAGTAAAAAAGATAATAAGATTAATACAACTGTATCCCTCCTCTCAAATTATCTCTCGAGAAAGAGGCAGTCGTAACACACATTATTAATGAACACTTCTTAAATTACTTTCAACGGTTGGGAAAACACATGCCATCATTCTACTCTTAGCGGCTTACAGCACTCACTTGGCGATCTGGCAAAAAATAGTCAAAGATATTATAAGCAGGATCTATAAACTATTTTGCAATTTATAATTATGAAAGTTGGCTTGGGACCAGCAGTTAGTGTAACAGCTATGTCGCCGTACTCCCATGTAGTCAACCGCGGTTCAAGTCCTGGACCCGGCGGCTTAAACTCACGCAGGGCGCATGTGTGTGTGTGTGCCCAAGATCCCGAGAGGAGAATGGAGAAGGGATTGCGGCGTAGCCATCCCCCCAGGGGGTGATTTCTCGCTTTCTGTCTCTCTGTCTCTCTGTCTTTCTGGCGAGTGCACGCTCCCTGTAGCGAAAACCTCTCCAAAAAAGAAAAAATTAAAAAAGTTGTCTATAAACCAATACTGTAAAGATCACTTTCAAACACTTGTTATAAAGTTACAAACATATACCTTTGGAATAAATGAGATGTGCTTTCATAAAGCTTTAAGCAGCATCATTGTACAATACACTTCTTTGAAAAATGTATTTAACTTATTTATGTACTATGGAAAACTAAGTGAGATTAATCAAGAAAAGTTCTAGAAAAGACAGCGATGGTGTAGAAGATACATGAGTAATTCAAAAAGTGTGATAAAAACGGAATTCAAGTACAAAAGAAATTTTAAAATCCATGCATAATTATTTTTATTCTATGCGTTTTCCCAAAACTTGTAAAAAGACCCCTTGGGACCGGCAGGTGGTGTGGTGGTTAAGGGCACTGGCCTCTCCCATGACTGACTGCAGTCTGAGTTCAGGCCTCGTGGTTGCTTTCTCCCTTTCCCCCTCTCTAACTCTGTCCCTCTCTAGTTAAATTTAAATGAATCAAGTTAAATAATTTTTTAGAAAATAAATAAAAATACCCTCATAGTTTTCTGTAAATTGTTTCAAATATATTAGAAAGTGTTTCTAAATTAATACATTTTATACACAGCAATTTAAAATACCAAAGTATCATTACATCATAAGTATAGGTTGTATAGGATTGCCAGAATTAGAAAAAGGACACCCAGTTAGCTATTTTTCTTTGTAAATCATATTGTGCATAACATGTTAAAATCTTAGGTAATTGAAGCTTTTATTTTTTAATTCAGCAAAATTTCTTTATTATACTGTCTAAAACTTGAGAGTGATATGTTAAATAAAAAGGCCAAAAGGTCACTCTTATCTTGTTCTTAATCTCCATGTAAAAAAAAATTTTTTTGGGGGGCGGGAAGTGGTTTTTGCTATAGGGTGCGGGCGCTCGCCAGAAAGACAGAGACAGAAAGCAAGAAATCACCCCAAGGCGGGGAGGGCCACGCCGCAATCCTTTCTCCTCCATTCTCCTCTTGGGATCTTGGGTATGCATGCACACATGCTCAGTGTTGAGTTTAAGCCACTAAGTCCGGGACTCAAACCGCGGTCGACTACATGCGAGTTCAGCAACATAGCTGTTACACTAACTGCTACTGGTCCCTCCAAGCAAAAATTTTTTTACTACTCCATTATTAAATACAATGTATGCTCATTTTTTCATAGATAATATTAGGTTGAGGAAATTTCCTTTTATTTCTAATTTGCTAAGACTTTATGTAATAATTGTACATTTAAGTTTTACCGAGTTTCTTCTTTGTTAAAATGGTCATGTAATTTTTCCTTCACTTTTTCAAGATGACATGTATTTCTTAACATTAATACATTCAAAATATTAAATTTAGTTTATTATTTCTAAAATAAAGCTAACTTGGTTGCAAGTATATTATAGAAAAATATAGTATTACTTGCTTTAGTCTCTTATTTCATAGAATCTTTGTTTATTTCATAGATAAAACTGGTCTGTAATTTTCCATTTTTATTCCTTGTCAGTATTTGGTAGAAGGGTTATGCTGAATTCATAAAAGAATTCATTTTTTGATGATTCTCCTCACATATCTATATAAGGAAGGTGTTATTTGTACCTTAACTTAGTTGTAGATTCAGTAGTGAAGGCATCAGGTTTGGTTTTTTTATGAGAAAGTTTTATATTATTGATCTCTTGGGTCGTCTGAAAAGTCATGATGCATTTTTGCATAGAGAAACATAAAAAAAAATGCCACCACTTTTTTGACAACCAAATACATTACATACATTAAAGGATTATTCTAGTTTTCTATTTTATCTTACATTAGTTTTGGTAAAAGTTCTATTTTGTAAGAATTTGCACATTTCATATAAAAACGTTCAAATTACTGACAGACAGCCCACTCTTGGCAGTGGTCATTTTGGCCAGTTCTCTCTTCTTAACCACTCATAAAAGGATTTGGTCATTTCTGGTCTTTCAGAAAACTCAACTTTTGGCTTTGGCTATTTCTGCACACGTCTTCATTATGTTCCTTTTAAAAGCTATTTATTTGAGGTTTAATTCGCTGCTTTCCCAATCTGGATAAATGCTGAATGCAGTGACTTTTTATCCTAAAATCTGCATCTCATGATATAAATGTGGCTTTAGCTATAAATTTGAAGGTTTGAGTGATATATAATATTTTCACTATCGGGGCCAGCAGGTTGAAGGGTGGTTAAGGCACTGGATTCCCACATGGCAAACAATGAATGGTTCTATTCCTGGACCTGGCGGCTTGTTTTCTCACTTTCCTTTTCTCTCTTTCTCTCACTGTTTCTCTCTAGTGTGCACACGTGCCCTCTAGCAAGGTGAAAAAAAAAAAAAAGGCATTTCAATAAATAATCTGTAAACAAGACAAAAAAATTATTAGGGACCAACAGTTGGCTTAACGGCTATGTTGCTAGACTCCCATGCAGTTAACCGCAGTTAGAGTCCTGGGCCTGGTGGCTTAAACTCACATTGCTTGCATGCCCAAGATCCTGAGGGAGAAAGGGACTGCAGTGTGGCCATCCCTTGGGGGGGGGGGGGTGATTTCATCTCTCTGGTGAGCGCACGCACTCTATAGCAAAAACCTCTTCATCATCCAGACCACATATTTTCTACTATCCATTGGGGATTTCTTCTTTGATAATTTAAATTAATTTATAACTGTTTATTTTGAAATAATTTCAAAGTTAACTTTGCAAGAGTACAGAGATCTCACATACACCTTTACACAGGTAAGTCGTTTCTCAAGTTTTGCCTTATCACAGTCCTTTAGCTCAGTAATGACTCAGTGTGTATTTCCAAAAAACCAGGAAGTTCTCTTATGTTAACTCTTGGAACAGTTAAGTTCAAGTAAACTGACATCGAGACAATGCCTTCATCAAATCCACAGGCCAGATCCCAATTCTGTCATTGTTTCGGTTATGTTTTACATTTGTTTTTGTTTCTCTCTAGTCTAGAATACAGGCCAGGACCAAGTATCAGTGCACGTAGTTTTCATGTAAGTATTCTTCTTCATTTTCAAATATCAGACTTCTTTTCACCATTACTATTATTTCCTTTTCTTTAAAGAATTGTTTATTTAACTCCATGTGGGAGTCTATCACCTCAACCACCATGCCACCTGCTGGCCCCAATCATTACTATCTTTTAAATTAGCTACACTGTTGTTATTATACAAGTTATTTTGAAGGATCCTTTGAAATTTAAGACATTGCCTAGCATATGATACATTATATGTTTTTCTCAGGGCCAGCAGGTGGTGTGGTGGTTAAGGTGCTGGACACTCCCACATGGCTGACCATAGTTCAAGTCCCAAACCTGGTGACTTGCTTTAGCTCTCTTTCTGTCTCTATCTCTCTGATCAAAATTTTAAAATAAATAAATGAGTAATTAAAATTAAAGTTATTTAAACTTTTTCTCTGTATATATGAAAAGAATATAAGATATTGGATGCAGTGTTCCATATGTCCATAAGGTTATCTGCTAATTATGTTATTTTGATCTTATTACTATATCTTTATATCTAATATGTGTTGTTAATTTTTTGAGTAAATTATGTTAAAATTTCTCACTCCAGATTTCTCTGTTTGATGTTGGTTAGATTGGTTACTTTTTTTTAAGAAATATTTTTTGCCATAGGGCATGTGTACGTGCCAGAGATAAAGAAAGTGAAAATTGGCCCCCAGAGGGGATGGCCGTGCCGCAATCACTTTCTTCCATTCCTCCTCTTGGAATTCTGGGCATGCACACACTTTGCACCTGGTGTGTTTTTCTTCTTTTTTTTTTTTGTTTAAGAAATTTTTTATTAACTCTATTTTTTACTTATTTATTTATTTTTAATTTGATCAGAGCAAGACAGAGATAGTGAGAAAGCAAGCTGTCAGATCCAGGACTCAAACCATGGTCGGCCATGTGGAAGCCCAGTGCTCTTAACCACCATGCCACCTGCTGGTCCCGCAGTAAGAGTTTTAAGTCGTGAGGTCCAGGAATCAAATCGCGGTCAACTACATGGGAGTCCACTGACATAACTGTTATACCAACTGCTGTTCCAGAAGTTTTATTTTTTTTAAACATCATTTTGTGATGCATATAAATTTAGAACTGTTTTTTGTTTTTAGCTTTTTATTTTTAAAATGTCTCTCTCCTTATCTTGAATAATGTATTTGTATCCTATACTAGCTCTCTATTATATAGTTATGTGTATGACTGATCTTTTCCAATTAACCTTTTTATATACTTAATTTTCAGATGTTTCTCATAAAAAACTAAATAATGAATTTTTCTAGTTTATTCTATAGCCTGAAACCTGCCTTGTAATTTTGAATATTTTACCCATGTACATTTAATATAATTACAAATTCATTTTTAGAGTATCAAGTTACAAAGGTCATATCACAGCCAATTCATTCTTTGTTGCTTTTTCTCACTTCTCTGACCTGTGTTTGGATTTATTAATTATTCTATTCCTCTTGTCCTTTGCTGTCATCTTGGTAATTATACATACTTTTACTATTCTTGTAGTGACTGCTCTAGCCATTACAAAATGTAGAACTTATTATCTAATATTATTTTGTACTTTTTACCCTTTTCCTAGACCTCCTCTCTTGCGGGAATCTTAACATATGAACTGAATATAGTTCTAACACACATGCTGCTGCGTGACACATGAATAAACACATCACACACCATCAAGACGTTTTTGTTGTTTCCTCATTTAGATTTACCGTAACTATTATTTTAATTAGTCCTACCTTTTTTTCTTCTATCCGAGGTACGTTAGAGAGGGCTTACCAAGACTATATCCTCACAGTTTTTTTTTGAAAATGTTTTGCATTTACTTACTTATTTATTGTTTTTCCCACGGGGCCCAAGCACTCACAGGAGAGAAAGAGAGACAGTGAGAAGGAAAGTGAGAAATCACCCCTGGGGTGATGGCCACTCTGCAATCCCTTCTCCTCGATTCTCCTCTTGGGATTTTGGGCAGGCGGGTGGATGGATGGATGGACGGACGGACAGACAGACACACACACCCAGCATGAGTTTTCAGCCACCAGGTCTGGTACTGTCACTGTGATGAGACATGTGCGAATCCAGTGCCTTAACTACTTTGCCACCTGTTGGCCCCTGCTTTTATTTTTAAAGAGGTGCAGGCATTACACTGCTATGCAATACTCAACCCACGTCCGACTCTCAAAGAAATATAAACACACTGAGCATGTGGTGCATGTCTATATTCTGGCTAACTGAGAAGCTGGAGTGGGAGGTTGTCAAAATCACAAGACCCTGTTGAAAATACCTGTAGCTCTATGTCCCTGTTTCATAAAAAAAATCATAATCTTAAAAACCAGTGCTTCTATCAATATTTGTTAAATAATTGCTTTCTTAATTATCCTCCTGGGAATTTGTGAAACATTTTTTTTTTTTGGAGAGGTTTTTTTTTGCTATAGGGCGCGTGCGCTCGTCAGACAGACAGAGAGACATAGAGACAGAAAGCGAGAAATCACCCCCCCAGAGGGAATGGTCACGCCGCAATCCCTTCTCCTCCATTCTCCTCTCGGGATCTTGGGCACGCACACACACGTGCCCGGCTTGAGTTTTAAGCCACCGGGTCCGGGACGCGAACCGCGGTCGATTACGTGGGAGTCCAGCGCTATAGCCATTAAGCTAACTGCTGGTTCCCTTGTGAAACTTTTTGAACATAGGTTAGATGTCTTTCATCACTACTTGAAAGTTCTCTGCCGTTATGTTCTATCCTCATATACTTCATTCTTCCACTCTCCTTTCTTTCCTTCTTGGTTAGCAATTATATCCATGTTAGATCTTCTCTAACATGGATGGGTACTGGCCCATCTTCTCTACAACCTATCCATTTGTTTCCCATGCTTTGACCTAGATATTTTCTCCTAGTTCATTAGTTCTCATTTTCGGCTATACCTGATCTATTGTTAAAACTGTAGGTTTAACTGTGCATTTTAGACCTAAACTTCCCATTTCTTTTTAAAAAAAGATTTCATTTTATTTGTTTTCATTATTTTGAATTTAATGAGAGAGAGAGGGGGAGAGGGGGAGAGAGAGAAATAAAGTGAGAAAGCAAGCTGCCAGGTCCGGGATTTGAACTGTGGTCAGCCTTGTGGGAGTCTAGTACTGCAACCACCATGCCACCTGCCAGCCCAACAATTTCTTCTTTTTCATACGGTTTTGGGTTTCGAACCAAATTCTCCATTTTGTCCTTTATCACCTAAAATTTATTAAGATGTAGTCCTGTGGGCCTTTTTATATTTTATGCTGTACTAGGTTCTATTCGTAGTGTTGAACCACCTAGCATACCTGGTTATTTCTAATTATGTGCTGAATATTCTTACATAAAACCCATTATTGAATAAATCTAGGGCCTACAGTATTATCTTTCTTGGAAGGTTTACATTTGATTTACCTTTGGGGAAATGGCAGTATTTTACTTTAATCCCACTTTAGGTTCTGAGCTTTACTCCCTGTGATGACCTACTTACTAGCTAGTTCATCTCTACCACTACAGTGTAGATTTTGAGGGTCCCAACTCAAGGCTATAGCACATCTTAACCCATTCTGATGTGTGAACTGTAATCACTGACCTCTCTGCTCTGTGAGTCTATTAAAAGTACTCCTCCATCTCTAGGCAAATGTCTCTGAGATTATCTTTCCCACACCAACCCAATCCTAGGCCAGTAATTCCTTACTATTTCATGAGCTGTAAAATTTCACATAGCTGATTTCTGTACGTTTTCCAGGTCTTCTAGTTGTCTTCACTAGTTTGGATGCTCTGAATTACTTAGTCTGCTTATACTGAGAGTCTAGACCATTAAAAGCAATACATTAGGTCAAATCCAAATCTCACAGTCTGAATCACTGGTTACCAACCCACATGTCAATGGAGGTCAGATTAAAGAGTAAGTTTTGGGAGGAGCTATAATGAACCAGAAGAGGCATGCCTCATTCCGAAGAACACTAAAGTCAGTTCCAATCAAATGGTGACACAGAACTATTAAAAGACTAAATAGTTTTAAATTTCTCAAAAAAATCTGGATTAAAAAAAAGTAATACCTCCTCATTTTACAACTGGCAACTAATTCCATACATTTCAAAACAGCATGTGGGCCAGTGTTTCTTAACTCAAAGGATCTTGGTAACCTGGTTTTGTTGGCAACGACAGGAGTCATTCCTTATTTGTTACAACTGGGGAGTAGTATGCTACTGGAATCTAACAGTTTAAAGTCGAAGGAGCTCCTCACCACCATATAATGCACAGGACAGTTACCCCGCGACAAAGAATTATCTAGTCCAAATTGTCAATAGTGTCTCATGAGAAACTCTGGTACAGGTCAGCACACTGCTGGCCAAACCAAGCATGTTTGCAGACCGCTACTTGGCCGCAGTGGTAGCAGTCCTCTAGGCCTCGGAAAGAGGTGTTATAATTCTAGGATGGAAGATGCCGGTACCTATGCTCTTTATGTTCTAATAACTGGCAGTCCCGACATGTCAGTTTGTCACATGTCTCACAGTAAAGCTTCAATTGTTCCTTTTTATGAAAAGGGCAAAACACAGGTCGCTGACTGGTCACACCAACCGCCTCTGCAGAAACAATGGGAGGCAAAAAAAACAAAAAAACAAAATTAATGTAATTTAGTAAATGATTATTAGATTGTTCATCTGAATTCAAATCCATTGATTAAAAAAGCAATTTCATCTACATCATAAATAATACTAGGTGCTACAGATTATAATATTAAATATATTTGGCATTTCAAAAGAAAATGAAAATGAGCTTTTTGCTTTGCAAAGTAGAAATCCAAATTAATTCAGGAATAAATGAAAGGGCTAAGTTTGTGCTTAAAAAGCTGTTCTGTCAAATTACAAAGTCAAGGTGGCCCCATAATGCAGTTGTTAAGTGGAATGCATTGGTGCCAGATACCACGTGGCCAACTGCACTTCACATCCTGGTCATAAGGGCTTGAAAAACCCATGTTCCACTATGCCAAAGATGCTGATGAGATGGAGAAGTGGAGGAAAGATATGCCCTGTGACCGTGACCCACGGCACTGGGGTATGGGAGGAGTATGCTTTCTTTCTTCTTTGGCAAGTATACACACTTTCTGGCAATTAAAAATCAACAAACATGGACCAACAGGTGGCCTAATGGCTACATCGCTGGACTCCCAGGTAGTCGATCGCGGTTCGAGTACTGGACCCGGTGGCTTAAAATCACACTGGGGATGTATGTGCGCCTAAGATCCCAAGAGGAGAAAGAAGAAGGGATTGTGGCGTGGCCATGCCCCCTGGAAGGTGATTTCTTGCCTTCTATTTGTCTGTCTCTCTCTGTCTTTCAGGTGAGCACACACACCCTACAGCAAAAAAACAAAACAAAAACAGAAACAAACAATTAATTAAAACAATTAATAAACAACAGGGCCAGCAGGTGGTGTGGTGGTTAAAGTGCTGGACTCCCACATGACTGACTGCAGTTTGAGTCCTGGACCAGGCGGCTTGAAAATCCTGCCAGTCATGTGTGTCCAGCATGATTTTAAAACTGCCAGTTCTGAGACTCAAATCAGAGTCAACCACATAGGAGTCCAGCACCTTACCCACCATGCCACTTGCTGGTCCTGGAAATTTCTTATTTTAACAGTGTAAAGTAATGCTAAAATAAGAAATATAAATCAATCAACTGAATTCCGTAAGATAAATTCCTAGTGACAGAATTGTTAGGTCAAAGGGTTATTTATACTGAAATAAATAACTAAGTGGTCTACCAAATAAATTATACCAATTTGTACTCCTACCAGTACAAAATAGCTATTACCTTATTAACAGGGGTATTCTCACTAGTTTTTATTTTTGCCAACTTGATAGGCACATAAAAATTTTTTTAAAGTGAGGGAACCAGCAGTTAGTGTAATGGCTATGTCGCCGGACTCCCACGTAGTCGACCGCGGTTCGCGTCCCGGACCTGGTGGCTTAAAACTCACACCGGGAGTGTGTGCATGCGTGCCAAAGATCCCGAGAGGAGAATGGAGGAGAAGGGATTGCGGCTGACCATTCCCCCTTGGGGGTGATTTCTCGCTTTCTGTCTCTATGTCTCTGTCTGTCTGGAGAGCGCACGCGCCCTATAGCAAAAATCTCTACCCCCCAAAAAAAAAAATTTTTAAAAAGAAAGAGACTTCAGCATTGTAGAATGCATTTCTTTAATAAATGTGACTGAACATCTTCTTAAATTCATCAGCCGCTTGTGTTTACTTTTTAATTATTTACTTAATTCCATTTATTATTATTTTTAAAAATTTGACCAGACAGAGATGAGAGAAAGAGAAAGGGAAAGTGAGAAAGCAAGTCACCAGGTCCGAGGCTTGAACCGAAATCGGCAATGTGGGAAAACAGCCCCTTTGACCACCATGCCATCTGCTGGCCCCACCTACTGTTCTATTTTAAAAATTGTCTGAGCGACAAGCAGGTGCTGTGGGCACTGGACTCCCACCTGGCCGATGAAGGTTAGAGTTTCGAACCTCACGGCTTGCTTGCTTTTCCTCTCTCTCTATCTCACCTACTCACTCTGTCCCTTTCTGGTCAAATTTAAATAAATAAGTAAAGCTAAAGAAAATAATTATTTTTTTAAAAAAGCAATTGTCTGCTAATAACCTCTACCATTTACCTGTCCAGTTCTCCTTCTTATTGATTTGTGCACAAATTTGATAAATTATCTGCCATAGACTTGAGAAATAGTTTTCAGTTTGACTTGATTTATGGTATTTTGTCACAATAGCTGTTTTTTATGGTTTACATTTTGAGAATTGCTTCAAGAAAAGCTTTCTCCTCTGAAGTTATAAAAAGGTTTTAAATTTTTTCCATTGTTTACTATACTTGTATGGTTTCATTTTTTATTTATTTATTTTGACTCCTCTAAAATTTCTGTTCATGATTCTCAATCCTTATAAAATGAGTCAATAGAGAATAACAGACTCCACTTCCTCATCATAATATAAGACTATAAAGTGGGAAGTAGAATGAAAATCAAAACACTGGGAAAATTTCCTTGTTCTTTTATTTTTAAAAAGGAATATTGTTCTTTTTTCATTCTTATTTTATTTATTTATTTAATTAATTGTTAACTTGAACAGAGAGAGAGAGAGAAGGAAAGTGATAAACCAAGCCACCAAGTCTAGAACTTGAACCATGGTCAGCCATGTGGGAATCTAGCACCACCACAATACAGGCTGGACTTCCTTTCTTTCCTTTTTTTTTTTTTTTTTTTTTTGGGGTTTTTTTTTTACACCATTTGCCCAGAAAGACAAGAAAGACAGAAAGTGAGATATCACCTTCCCGGAGGAATGGCCACACTGCAATCCCTTCTCATCCATTCTCCTCTCAGGATCTTGGGCACACATGCACAGGTGCCTGGCATGAGTTTAAGCCACTGGGTCTGGGACTCAAGTCGTGATTGACTACATGGGAGTCCAGCGACATAGCCATTATGCCAACTGCTGGTCCTCTCCTTTTTTTAAAAAAAAAAAAAAAGAATTATTTTATTTAACTTTATTTATAATGATTATTATTTTCCAGTTTGATCAGACAGAGAGGAAAAGTGAGAAGGCAAGCTACTAGGTCCAGGACTTGAACCGTGGTTGGCCATGTGGGAGTCCAGCACCTTTAACCATCACACACCACACCACCTGCCAGTCTCCCTTGCTCTTTGAAATAATTCATAATGCAGTGTTCAGCAATTTGCTTTTTGTAGTTATTATACATTATGGTCTTCTTTCCATATCACCATTTACACAGGTCTACCAGAGTAGTAAGCAAGCAAACATAAATAAAAATTAAAAAATTCCTTACTACCTGGTAACCATAAATGAGTATCAACAAAAGCAAAGGAGCCAGGAGGTGGCGTGGTCGTTAAGGGCGCTGGACTCCCATATGGCCGACCACAGTTTAATTCCTGGACCTGGCGGCAAGCTTTCTTACTCGGTCCCTCTCTGGTCAAGTTAAAACAGATCAATTAACTAAATAAAATTTAAAAATGAGAAAAAAAAGCAGAAATCAATATACTAAATAATGATTTAAATTTAAATACTTATAAGTTCTTTTATGCGAAATTTTTGCTATATGGCAGGTGTGCTCGCCAGAGAGACAGAAAGTAAGAAATCACTCCCAAGAGGGATGGCAATATTGCAATCCCTTCTCTATTATCATCTCAGGATCTTAGACACCCATGCACACATGCCTGGCTTGAGTTTTCTTTTTTTTTTTTTTTAATTTAGAGAGGTATTTCCTATAGGGTGTTTATGCTCACTCCCCAGAAAGACAGAGAGAGACAAAAGACAGAAAGGAAGAAATCACCCCCTGGGGGGATGGCCATGCCACAATCCCTTCTCCATTCTCCTCTTGGGATCTTGGACATGCACGAACACGCGCCTGGTGTGAGTTTAAGCCACTGGGTCCAGGACTCGAACCGGTCAACTATATGAAAGTCCAGCAACATAGCCATTTCGCTAACTGCTGGTTCCCACCTGCTGTGAGTTTTAAGCTGCCAGGACCAGGACTCAAACTGCAATCAGTTAAGTGGGAGTCCAGCAATGTAACCATTATGCCATTTGCTGGTCCCAGATACTTACAATTCTAAGTAAGAGAAATGAAAATAAGTATCAAGCATTATCTCACCAAAGTTAGAAACAGAACTTTAAAATAAAACCAAGATAACCTGTGCGAATTAAAGATAAAATTAATGAACCAACTATAAAAGTCATTAAATAGATTGAAGAGTTGTTTCTGTGATTAAAAACTGAAACGTAACTTGATACCTAGAAGGTTTGAAAAGGTAAAAGTACATAAAATTTAGTGATAAAAGGAAAATAACCAGATTCAGCAAACGTCAGTATATTGAAAGTATAGTAAAAGCACAGCACATCAAGACTGAATGGAATTTGTTTCAGCAATACAAAGATAGCTCCAGTGTTTTTAGTATTTTTGAACAGTCTCATAGCTTTCAGCTCCATCCTCCATGGATATTTACCCCATCTGGGCTTTATATGTAAACAGGATGATCATATAGCTTAAGTTTGCATGGGACATTCTGGTTTGTGCTTGCTGCTCAGGAATAATCATATAATGCTTCTTTATGGCTAAAAAAAATGATACCATGTCACCCACTTATTGACTCCTTTTATCTACTGAAGAACCCGTACCTTGACTCTTAATCCTATTTCTCCTCAAAATCCTAGAAGATTTAGATTTTCAGTGGATTGGGGTCTGGCAGGTAGTGCTGTGGTTAAGGTGCTGGACTTCCCTACATGGCTGACAAAGTTCAAGTCCCGGACATGGTGCCTTGTTTTCTCACTTTCCTTTTTTCTCTCTTTCTGGTCAAATTAATAATAACAAATAAAATAACAAATAACTAGTGATTGAAGTGACAAAAGCTACGGAGAAACCAGCAGGTAGAGTAATGGTTACACTGCTGGACTCCCTCATAGTCTACCACAGTTCCGGTCCCAGATCCGGCAGCTTAGAATTCACACTGGGTATGTGTACGTGCATGCCCAAGATCCTGAGAGGAGAATAGAAGAGAAAGTATTGCGGTATGGCCACCTCCTCTCAGGGGGAGGGGTGATTTTCTTGCTTTCTGTCTCTCTGGTGAGCTCGAACAGACACCTTATATCAAAAATCTCTCATAAAACAAACAGGGAACCAGCAGTTAGCGTAATGGCTATGTCACTGGACTCCCACATAGTCGACCACGGTTCGCGTCCTAGACCCGGTGGCTTAAAACTCACGCCGGGCGCGTGTGCGTGCGTGCCCAAGATCCCGAGAGGAGAATGGAGAAGGGATTGCGGTGTGACCATCCCCCCGGGGGGTGATTTCTTGCTTTATGTCTCTCTGTTTCTCTCTGTCTGTCTGGTGAGTGCACGCGCCCTATAGTGAAAACCTCTCAAAAAAAAAAAAAAAAGAAAAACAAACAAAAACCATGGAAACAAATAACTATGGTAGTACAATATTGTGAATGTAATTGATGCCACTGAATTGTACACAAAAAATGGTAAGACATTCTATATTAAGCATATTTTATAAATACATATACATGAGAATATTAAAAGCAACACAATAAGAACTGAGAAACTGTAATTACATGAAAAGCTAACTTACTTCGGTTATTTTTATATCAAATATTAAAACTTTTAGGCTCAATCTTTGTTACCTTAAAATTAAAAGACAAGAGAGAAAATAGGAGACTTTTAAAATTTGCTCTACATTCACATCAAATAGGAGCAGGAGGGTGGGAGTGAATGTGAGCAGAGAAGACTCCATATTAATTCATGGTTACCAACAATTTTAAAAGCTCATGTTTCGGCTGTAATATAGACCTCTTTGCATGAAAAAGAATGTTTACAAGTGTATCTAAGCAAGTCAACATATGAAGGAAGAAAAGACAATGGGAGTAAATGAGAAAAAATATAAAGAAAAGAGCTGCTATTACCTGGAGACACTTCCTCTTTCTGCCTGACAGTGTGGTCCTTTGTGAACTTCACTCTCTGATGAGCTCTGATACACGTCTTGCAGAGCCATTCAACACACTCCACACAGAACCCATTAGCTTCTGCATTGTCCTCACAGCTTGTACATACCTAATAATAAAAAATGTCATTAGTTTTTGAGAAAAATGAAAAGCTGGTCATACCACTATCACACATAAATGATAAACCAACCATACTGGATTCTGTCCATTACCTTTGTATATAAAAATAATATATAAATATTGGGGCCGGCAAGTGGCATGGTGGTCAAGGGTGCTGGACTCTCACATGGCCGACCACGGTTCAAGTCTCGGACTTGGTGGCTTGCTTTCTCACTTCCTCTCTCTCCCTCTGTGTCTCTCTGATCAAACTGGAAAATAATAATGATAATAATAATAAATAAAGCTAAATAAAATAATTCTTTAAAAAAATAATAATATATAAATATATAAAAGATAAATGAGTCTTATAATTTATTTCATTTGTGTTAGGGCATGTGCACATGACAGAAAGGGGCACCTCTGACAGGGTCTTGTCCTGCTATGATTCCCCTTCCCAGCACTCCAACTTATCAGGATCTTACACACATAGCACACACTCAGGGGTTTTCAAGCTGACCCAGGGATTCAATCCTGCAGTTAAGTTATGTGGCTTCTAGCAACACAGTTCAGTTTGCTACCGACTGTGCCAGGATAGGCCTATTATTATTATTATTATTATTATTTTAAAATCTTTCTTGCTTTCATGAATGAGAAAGACAGGACAGAAAGCACCTCCTACAGGGTGGTCTTCATATTGTGATCCACCGTAGCCTCAGTCAGATCAAGACACATATATACCTGGGGTGTTCAGGGAGTTCTACAGATGTGATTCTGGAAATTTCTTAGCCTTGCAGAACCACTATGCGACTGTCCATTATCATAACAGTGTTTGTAAATTTAAACTGAGATTTGTCATGGAAATAGTACATAAAGGCAAGAATACAAATATGTGGGCCAGCCAATGGCATTGTGGTTGAGGTGGTTGGGTCCCACATGGTAGGTGGAGTGGTCTGAGTTCCAGACTCAGCAGCCTAAAAAACATGCTGGGCACCTGTACATGCATGCCCAAAATCTTGAGAGGACAATGGAGGAGCAAGAATTGCACTGTAGCCATCTCCCCTGGGAGGTGATTTCTCACTTTCTATTTCTTTCTTACTGTCTCTTTTGGCTGTCCTCTCAGCAAGCACACAAACCCTACAGCAAAAACTGAATGTATATATGCATGTTTTCTCCTTACTTCAATGTATCCAATATTTTAGGAACTACGCTAGCTGCTGAGGAGACAGCAATCAGGAAAAGCAGCATGGACCTGCCCCATGATACCTATAGTTTCAAATATGGAACTCAGGTTCAAGTTTAAGGTCCCACACTTACTAGTGGTCTTGGGCAGGTCTAACATGGATGTTACAGAGTAGCTGTGAAGATTAAATGTGATGCTGACACACACTGCTGGAATGGTCACACTAATATGTAAGTACAAACTAAAAAGTGCCATAAAGTATTTGCATAAGAAGGAACAAGAGCACATGATGGGGAAACTAATCTCATTTCAGTGAGGTTGGAAGGTTGAGGAAAGCAAGAGGGTAAGCTGAGTCAACAATTCCTGGACGAGGGGCTGGCCGGTGATGCAGTGCTCAGGCAGAAAGGTGGCCTAGGACGCGTTTTCAGTGGTTTAGGTGAGACTGGGTGGAAATAGAGATAAGAGGATGGGTTTGAGGGAGATTTAAGAAAACTGACAGGTTTAAAGGACACACTGCACACGGAAATGAGTAAGAACCCCTGTGTTTCTAGCTAGGCTAACTCGTAGACCATGACATCATTTCTGAAAATGAGTATTAGAGCTACATATAAACAGCCACACAGACTCCCTTGTGATTGGGAAAAAAGTTCTTCCCCATTTCTCAGTAGTTGACATTAGCCAAATTCCAAATACCTGAGTAATATTTCCATAAGCCAAAATATGTCTTTCATTAGTTTTATTATCCTCGGCCTCTACCATCACTTGATACCACTGACTCCTGTTTTCTAGAAATTATTTGGATTCCTTGATATCTGTCAATCTTATTTCCCTGACTGTCCATCTGGATCCTACCAACCGTGTTCCTTTTAGATTCCACAAATCGTTATTAGATTTGGGAACTGATCTTACTTCCTTTCTTAGTTTCAACTATCACCTCCATGAAATTAAATCCCCATCATAGGGTACAAAAAAGAAAGGTAGATTCTCTATATTCACTGCTTGGGAGAGTCCCTAGAATATAAAATAAAATATTAGAAAGTAAAGTGAGGAGTATGAAGACTGACATACATATATATACTGCTTATTTAAGAAAGGTAGGCTGGGGGCTGAGAGGTGGCGTGGTGGTTAAGGGCACCGGACTCCCACATGGCTGACTGCAGTTTGAGTTCCAGACCTGGCGGCTTGCTTTTTAACTTTCCTTCTCTCTTTCCTCCGTTCCCCCCGCACCTCGCTCTCACTATATATAGATAGATAGATGAACAGATAAAGTTAAATAATTCTTTAAAAAATTAAAAAGGTGGGATGACAGTTTAAAATTATCAATAGGGGGTGGCTCTATTCAAATCTGAAAGATGGACCAGCATGGTTATGTTGCTGGACTCCCACACAGTTGACCATGGTTCAAATCCCAGACCTGGTGATTTAAAACTCACACCAGGTGCATGTGTATGCATGCATACCCAAAATCTTGGGAGGAGGAGAATGGAAGAGAAAGGGTTGCAGCGTGCCCAATCCCCCCCGGCTGGGGGGGGGTGATTTCTCACTTTCTGTCTCTCTGGTGAATGAACATGCCTTATAGCAAAATCTCTCTTTAAAAGAAGAAAGAAAAAAAAATTAGAGAAATGTTCTATTTGTTTTAGAGGCAGGAAAAGAGTGAAAAATAGTATTGACTCTCTAAATGCAACACCTTGGGTACTGAATGAGACTTTCAGAGTGATTCTGTGTGGAAAAGATGACTTTCATTAAAAATGTAAAAAAAAAAACCCTTACTATCCAACATGTTCTTCATATGCATCATTAGAGTTCATAAAGCAAAAATGATTTAATAAGCAGCTTGAAATAAATCTAATTGCCAAGACATAGCAAAATATAAAGTATGAAATAATATCAAGTAATAGAATACTTTTCCTAGAGATGATAGAGAACATGGGAATGCTACAGACTTGTGTATTGGCACCATTTTATTTCGTAAGCTGAAGTAGTCATTATTCTTCATACTATCTTTTACAATATTACATATTTTCATAGACTTTACGGTGGTCTATAACGCCTAGCTCCTTTTATTTTAGAGTCCTCTAGTATTTTAAGTGGCCTCATCAAGAGGAGTCAACAGGTTCAAGATTTAAATCACTTACCTGATTAGACTTTTCTACTGTACTGCTGGGAACCTCAGTAGTGTCCTTCACAAAAAAATTATCTATGATGTGTCTCTCTGCACATTCCTGACTACACACAGGGCATCGAATGACTCCAACTGGAAAAGACAAAATAGCAATCTAAGTTTAACACAAATATACTGAGTACGAAACCAACTTATCTTGTTGAAACTCTGAGTTCTTTTACAATGTCCACTCTTGCAAAATTCATACTTGCTTTTAATTAACCAAAAAAATATAGTTTATGGACATATATGGGTTTATTTATATTCATCACACATATATTAAATGATGCATAAATCCAAATAATTTTAAGTAAGATGTTCTCCCCCTCCCCTGGCAAATAAACATCCCCATGAGCTACTGTTTTTATTGTTTACCAACTTCTCTATCAATGATTTTTTAAGCAGTGATGTACAAAATCAAGTAAGAGGAACAGCAGTTAGCGTAATGGCTATGTCGCTGGACTCCCACATAGCAGACCATGGTTCAAGTCCCGGACCCAGTGGCTTAAACTCATACCGGGCACGTGTGCGTGGGTGCAAAGATCCCCAGAGGAGAATGGAGAAGAAGGGATTGTGGCGTGGCCATCCTGCCTGGGGGGTAATTTTTTTGCTTTCTGTCTCTCTGTCTGTCTTTCTGGTGAGCGAACACGCCCTATACTTTTTTTCTGTGGGGGGAACCACCCCTAAAGCCAAAAAAAAAAAAAAAAAAAAAAGTGCTTGGTGGACTGGCAAGTGGTACGGTGGTTATGGGCACTGAACACCCACATGGCCAACCATAATTCGAGTTCCAGACCTGGCAGCTTACTTTTTCACTTTCTCTCTTTCTCTCTCTTTCTGCCTCTCACTCTGTCCTCCTCAGGTCAAATTAAAAATAAGCAATTAAAGTTAAATAAAATAATTATTTTAAAAATTTTTTATATTCATAATACATAATTATGAATAAATTCAGAACCTAATAAAAACTTGATGCAGTAAATTTATATCAAAGAAATTGCAAAAGTTCCGAGTAATAGTTTTTTCAAAAAAGAGAATGAGGGCCCAGTAGATGGCGTAATGGTGACATTACTCAACTCCCATGTAGATGATCACAGTTCAAGTCTCAGACCCAGCGGCCTCAAACTCACACTGGGCGCATGTGTATCCACAGTCCTGAGGAGAATGGAGCAGGAGAAGGGACTGTGGTGTGGTCAATACCTCCCCAGGAGGTGATTTCTCGCTCCTCATTTGTCTGTGTCTCTCTGCCAGCATATGTGCCCTATACCAAAAATCTCTTAAAAACAAAAAAATAAAAATCAAGTAATACAAAGGCCAATTTTATTTGTATGTATGATCAACAACAAAAATTTTAATTAAAAAAATTCACTTTAGGGGTCAGATGGAGCATGGTAGCATGTGACTGATTCTCACATGGCCATCTGTGCACTTCAAGCCCCAGACCTAGGGCTTGAAATACATGCCGGGCACATGTGTACGCATGTCCAAAAATCTCAAGAGGAGAATGTAAGCAAAGGGAATGCAGTGTGGCGTTCCTCCCGGGGATGCTTTCTTATTTCTGTCTCCCTCCCTTTCTCTCCAGCAAGTGGACATGCCCTACAGCAAATTTAAAAAGAAAGAAAATTTAAAAAAAGAAATTCACATCAAACAGCAAAAAAAAATAAAAAAAAATAAATTAAGCACTTACGATTAATTTTCAAAAAGAATTATTTATTTAATTAATTCCATTTGTTGTTATTATTTTAACTTGACCAGGACAGAGAAAGGCAAAGTGAAGAGCAAGCCACTGGATCTGTGACTTGAAACACCATCAGCCATGTGGTAGTCCAGTGCCTTAACCACTCTGCCACCCGCTGGCCCCTTATGATTAATTTTTAAAAAGGTGTGAAAGGGGGCCAGCAGGTGGTGTGGTTGTTAGGGGTACTGGAATTCCACATGGCTGACTATGGTTTGAGTCCTAGGCCTGGCAGCTTGCTTTCTCTCTCTCTTTCTTTCTGTGGTCAAACTAAAATAAATAAATAAAGTTGAATAAAATAATTTTTATAAAAAGATTTTTTAAAAAAGATATAAAAGGTCATTATAAAGAAAATTATTAAAGATTCAAAAGCATTAAAAAAGATCTAAATGAGGGGCCAGGTGGTGGTACAGCAAGTAATATAAATGGGAGAGGTCTTGGGTCTGTGTCCTGGGACTGCTCTGATGCTGGCCATGTGTGCAAACTCAGTCTAGGCCAGGAGACCTGGGGTGGACTGTGGTGTGATGCGACTCTGCTGGAGGTGCCTGTCTCTATGTGTCTCCTTCTGTATCTCTCTCTCTCTCTCACTGAAATAATTAATTAATTAAAAAGAATATAAATAGTGAAAAAAATTGTGGTGGTGAAGATGCCAATTCTACATAAATATATCTATAAATTTGATACAGTTCTCGTAACAATCCCAATAGGGATTGAGAGAATTTTGCTAAGTTTGGGAAACAAACCTACCAAATAATGAGATTTACTATAAAGATACAATAAAGACAGTATGACATTTATGTAAAAATAAAAATAGAACAGAATATACACACTAAAAACTAGCCTACTTATATGTATACTTTTATACATTACAGATGTGTCACTAGAAGTCAGTAGAAAACACAAGGTGAATTTTTCATGTAGCTGGAAAACCAATCACCTACTAGGAATGGAGATGAAATTAGATTCCTACTTGACCCTATCTAAAAAAATGATCGCTTTGGCTTTCAGTCTTCAAGAAAACACAGGGAAATACCTTTGTGACCTTGGAGCAGGAATACATTTCTGAAGCAAGAAACAAAAGGCAGAAACTATCAGAGAAAGAATCACGTACTCCGCTTTGTTACAGAACTGTAGCTACTCAAGACTGCCCTCCGCGACATGGGAGAAGACAAACCCCAGACAGAGGACATAACAAACAGGTAGTACTGGTAAATAATTAGTATTGAAAAATCTGTAAATAGGTGACAACGGAGTTCACAGAAGAGAAAGACAGAGTAAATATGTTTCCCTCTTCCACTAGCTAGGAAGTTTAGCTAGAAACTCTAGAGCATCTGTACAAAACAAACGAAAGATGACTATGAGAGATTGAGCGACAGCAGCAGACTGGCAAAAAACCTCCAGACCCTAGGAACAACAAAGTAATGGGTTCAGTGGGTTTTCTTTTAGCTCCATATATTGAAAAGTAAGTGCTCACAAAGCCATCCCTCCCAAAGCACCAAGAGGTGCATCCCCAAAAGTCCACACTTTCAAGCCTAAGACAGAAAACTTTAGACAGTAACTGCTCCTCTCCAGCCAAACATCACGGAGAAAACATGCCCCTTTGTACCACCAGCAAAGGCCCAGTGGGATTCCCAAACTTCTATTCAGCCAACTTGAAACCAGGTACCCCAACGACCCCATGCTGGGTGATCCCAGTGAAACCCCAGGAGAAGCTTAAGTTCTGATCACTAGGGCTTTTCTGTGGTATTGGTAGAGACTAAGAGGTCTGAGCAAAAATAAGGTTTGCCCTCCACCTTCAAGCTGGACTGGAAGCTAGTAGACAGTCAGGACTTTCACTGGTACCTGCAGTAGCATCCCCTTTCCTTCTATGTCCACACACTCTGAACTGTCAAGGGAGAACACACGGGATGCAACAGACACTCATGGCCTCTCAGCCAGAAAGGTATCAACCCTCGCCAACCAATGAGGAGCAGGCCCATCTCCTTTGGATGTCAATGGAGGCACAGAAGGGAACACAGACTTTGATTCCCATCTTGCGCATGATGTTTTTTTTGTTTTGTTTTTTTTTATTTTATTATCATCATAATCTTCTTTCTATTACACTAGATTACATATAACTTTACATTGACTTCCATTGCTTTTTCAAAAGGGAATGCCATGCATGTCAGTCAATAGAGATACCAATCTCCCCGCTTTATCATTCAATATCTTTTCCATGCTTTTCCCAATAATTATTATTATAATTTTTTAAACAGTCAATCACTATTTCTCATTCTGCTTATCAAAGAGACTTCACCCATCATGAAATACCCCCCAGACCGGTCCAGCCGAGAACACTATACATGTCATCAACAGCAGGTAATAAACCATATCTATTTCTCATCAACATCCTGCCTCTCCACTGTTCACTGCCATCTTTATCCTCTTCTCTCTCCTTTTTTTTTTTT